ATTGTAGTACGTGAAATAACGGACTATATAATCGTTAAAAGCTCCATGTCTTGGATGCCCTTTTGGGACCAAAAGAAGATGGGCAATTTCTTCAACATTTGTTAACCATGTTAGCAATGATAAATATTTTGCTCTAAAGATAATTTAGAGAATGGTAAATGCATGTAAATAGACAGGAGGAAATACATAATTTACCAGTTGAAATTAAACTCGAATGGTCAGCAATAAAATAGCTTTTTTTTTCAACCAGCAGGACTACAATGTATATTCTGTGATGTTTCATACATCGATTAGAGCACGTGTACGTTATATGATACCCTCGCCCTTGCTTATTTTGATTCTATTACGAATCTTCCAATTCGAATATATGCTAAATTAATACGCTTCATGATCCTCAATTATTGACCACAACACGTTACCAAATGAATTAATCAACTGCAAGCAAGTACATCTTCTCTTTCTTATTTTACTTCATTTAATCACTTTTCTTATTTCTGTTTTTGTTGTTGTTGCTGTTGTTGTTGTAAGAAGTTAGACTGGAATGAAAAATAATTTCCTTACTGGGGCAAGTGCTACTGGCATAATTACGTACACGATCTACTGGCATAATTACGTATAAGATCTACTGGCATAATTACGTCCAAGCTCTACTGGCATAATTACGTCCAAGATCTACTGGCATAATTACTGTGGTCAATACATGGATAAATAACAATTGAGAATAGCTTTAAAATCTTTCACTCCCGAAATAAATTGCCCTCACCAGTATATTCCAACCCTGTATTCAACATTTCCGAATCGACATCCTTCCTAATTAAGATTACAACCGTGTTTATCAATCACCGAAAGAAACGTTGCATCTGAAATGTCATCGACTTCTCCCCCGATCTATCTCTCTTATCGGACACTGACACTAAATCAAAATTTGAGTTTCCTCCTATCAGCAAATTTCCCTTGAAATTAAAGGGAGTCAAGGATCCCTTTTAGCGTTCGACATGTGTGCAGGGTGTGCGGGCGTGTGTGCGACAGTGAGTGGGAGCGTGCGGGAGTGTGCGGGAGTGTGCATGAGTGTGATCGAGTGTGCGTGAGTGTGCGAAAGGGCGGGGGTGGTTAAAAATAATAATGTTTCAACTGCTACAAATTGGAATTAACGACACACATGCTCCGTCGACAATAATTGCTCTCCGGCCAATCCTCTACTCTAATGAAGTATTCATCTTAGAATATAATTCGCTATCTAGCCCTAACACTAAAATTAATCTTAAACCTAACCTAAAGCCTAGTTACACTCCTAATTCTGTTTTTATATCTATGAATAAGCCCGGATCAATTGACGCCAAAGCAGAAGTCGAAGCACCATAATGCTGGTAGGTTTTTCAGTAGTGACACTCTTTATCTCTCTCTCTCTCTCTCTCTCTCTCTCTCTCTCTCTCTCTCTCTCTCTCTCTCTCTCTCATTCTCTCCGTGTCAGGTGCAATAGTTTATGATTAACCTATAGCCCACACGGTTCATTAGAGAAAAGAAACATATTCCGCCGAATATACCCTTCATATCATGCCTTTAGCTGGGTGGAATATTGTGTAAATTGAGCGGCAAACAAATACAGATGAAACGTGATAAAACACGCAAATAAAAATATTTGACATCTAGAAGGGGTACTTTAATAAGTACTGCGAAATTGCTATCGATACCCTTGGCGGTATACACTCGATCGTTCATTGACTTCTGATCGTCTGCTTGAGAAGGGGTGGTAATGTGCTCAAAATGTGCAAAATGAAGATACACCGGAAGGTTGTTATAGGGAAAATATTGTCACTCGTCTCTCCCCCTATCCATCGTTTTAAGTAAATTTAGGTGACTGAGAGGGCATATCGACTCTACGAATGCAAAACTCAGGTATTGGGTAACTTTGGTAATCTCTCCGAAAAGTTGCGCCACTAGTTTCTCGGTAATGTGGCCAAATACAACTTCGTGACTCCTAATTTAAAATTGGACATTATACTCGAATAAGATGGTAACAACTAATATAATTTCAAAAGTAACTTTCATCAACAATCTGTAGGGTATTGAGTCGAACATTATATTCGACAATGATATCATGATAAACCGGCTCGCTACAAACTTGTACTGCGTGGTACATGCTATAGACAGGTAACTGAAAAGTGACAAATATGAGGAAGAAAGGAGCGGTCCAAATTCTAATTAGTAATTGGCACCTTGTTGACGGCTATTATTTGTGACCAGGTATGTCGATTCAAGGCTGACGTACACCACACGTTTTAAAATGATTTATTCACGATTACGGATGATTAATTCATAGAGCGATTGCCACTTCCACCTGAGACGACAAATATACGTAGAAACGATCGGCTCATTAATGGTTTGGTATATGAATTATATATTAAAGAATTATACGCAAAGGAAACGGCTTTTCATTAAATCTTCTGTCCTCTCCTGAGGTGTGGATAACATTTATGAAAAAATTATGAAAATTAATCGAAGACTGCATTCGTGGAAAGTCAGACAGGCGAAAGACTCATCTGTCGTTGATCTACCTTTGAATACCCTATTTTGTGTACAATCATACATTCGGCATAATGGCAGTTTCCCTCGCAGTCCATTTTAAAGGCGAAATCTTAAACGAAATATTTTTCGCTCATATTATAGGATGCTTGAATACATACTTAACGCACAACGAGGAATCAATTCCATGAGGCCCGGAAGTACTCTAAATATTGTTTACGAAGAAGAAAAAAAACTGAGTCCCTAAATTTTTCTATTCGAAAATTGCATTTCTCTCTTCGTTATAACCATCTCTCCAACCTGTTGAGCACTGAAATTATTCAATGACCTGACACAAATGGGTCAGATGAATATTAGCTTTCAGGATAACTAACCCCCCCCCCCCCCACCCACTCATTCATATACCCGTCCCTATCCGACCAATCCCTGTGTCACACATAATACACATGCAAAAGTAAAATCAATTTGCAATGGATTTCAAAACAACAATGTAGAGTTTGCATTTAATACGCGACAAAACGTGTATAATACAAAAGAAGATCTACAATATGAAGGGGGTCCATGGTGTCCTTTCTAACGAATATCAAAGACCAAGACCAGAACGACTTTACCCATATCTTCAAGCTGTGAGCCATTTGAGTTGTACGAGACACTCTTCCAAATTCATTGTCTGAAATTTGATATCTCAGGATGACTTAACAAAAACTACATGTCTTCCATTCCATACTGATTTCACCTTCATCTGGATTTGTTGCGACAGTTTGGAAGACAAGAAATAATACAACAACAAAAAAGGCGAACAGTCAAAGTGCGTCCTATTTTTTCTTCTTTATCCCGCCATTCCTCAGACGGCAGCATACCTGTCGTACACGCGTTCAATCTTGTCTGGTTCCCCGTGCCACGTGGCGAACTTGGCACGGAAAATGGCAAAGTCTCGACATCGAAAATTTGTCCAAATTAAATCAGACGCGCCGGCCGATGAGATACATTGAGAGGTCTCCCCATTCCACAGCAGGTGGGAAGAAAATCGCCAAAATATTCAGAAAACTGATTTAGTTTATTGACAAAACTGGTAGACAGGTTTCCGTTGTGACCATAGGCCTAGTGCTTGGAAGATACGTACAACAGGAGATCGACCTCTTTTTCGTGAAAGTGTAACTTATCGTTATGTATCGTTTTCCGACTGTTCCACCTTTCACCATGATCACTCACAATTTGCAATTTAGAGGCAGGTATACAATTATGAATGCTTGTTTCAGATATAAAGAGCCACGAGGGTTATCTTAGAGGGCTTGCATCGTGAGAAGGAGAGGGGTGTTGTGCTTTATGCTCATTGAATACTAGTAGTCCAGTTCATAGGCCAAGACCAATCAGAAAAATTCAGGGGTATACTATTTAAAGAGGAACTGGTCTATACATGCCAAATGTCTTTCAAGTTATTAGAGTATTACAATAATATAAGATTTCGACAAAAGTGTGTCTACACAAGACCCTGGAGATTGGAGAAGGTTAAAAAACTTTAAAAGTTGTAAGCAAGTTCTGTCCATCTATTTGGGGAGGTCTAAAGATTACTAGACCATAAAGTCATAGTTTCCTAAAAAAAATCAAAACCGACTAATGGGCGTTATTTGTAACGAAGAAAAGGAGTCGAAGTGTCACCATATGCGTGTTATTAGAGAACTTATAATACTTTTTATATTCTTCAACATGAAATTATCTTTGTTATCATTTTATTTGCACGACTGCCCATTACCCGGAGTAGTAACAGATCAGTGGAAACTCATATAGGGAGGAAGCTGTGAAATCCTCACCTACAAAAAGGTCTCTTCGACAATTACGAATCACCAAGGCTGTTCGTGCACACCTTGAGTCGAGTACATGCAGAAGTATACCTGGAGTGCCTGGAGTGCCTCCCACTCCGGAAGTTCCAGATGCCTGTGTCTTCCTTGATCGAAAACACATGGCGAATGTTTGAAGGGAACATATGATTCCATGACTTTCATGGTTGTCTTTGAGATGTTTCAGTTTGCCAAAGACTCTTTAGAAGTTGGCGGGAACGCCTTGCTAGATGGAAAGTGACATTTCGCTATACGCACATAGACTTGCTATGTCCCAGAACATAAGCCCTAATGCTGTTAATTGCCTGAGTGTTACAGTACTCATGTATTAAAGGTCCCAAAGGGTAAAATCAAGACGCATTGGACAAGTACTGGTTCAGGGAGTCGAAGCCACAACCTGGCATTTCATTGGAACCCCATTTACCCTTTATTTAATAAAGAGAGTAGATCTAATCGATCTGATCAAAAGTATGATCTAGTGAACATACTACCTCCTTGCAATCTTCTTTGTACAGAGATGCGATTTTAGCCGGGGATTTTATAATTATACATTATCTCAAGTTAAACGGCGATTAATTCCGACCAATTGGAGCTCTGTGTCCACCGGGGCCCTGGTTTCTCAAATTGCATTCTACTTACGTTGGCATATTCCACGTTCGTTCCTCTTCCATCCGTAGCAGCAGTCCCTCTTGAAGGCTCCATACGTGCAGATGCTGTTTCGTCCCCCCGATGGCCGCATGGCTGAAATGGCATTGTTCCGTGGTCTCGAGAAGAAAGCACCACCGTAACGAGGCGATGAGTGCACTGCGCTTCTGTGATGTCAAAAGAGAAAAGATAAGGAAATGTTTGTCAAAATATAATGATAATCACAACGATAAAGATGGATTCGTAAACCTTATAAACATGGTAAACACAACAAAAACAATCTGTCGGAGTCACACGACTTAATGTATCACACGACTTCATGTATAGCCAATACATTATTTGTGACAGTGACTCACAGTACAGGCTACAAGAAATACTTTTTATCATAAAGAGGGTGAGATGGGCAATTCGGATCCAAGAGAACAAGGTTGTTGCTATTACACCCATCAGAGGCCCTTATTTTCATTATGAACCGTTTTTGTGTTTAGCGGCAAGAGGGGGTGCCCTACAACACGTTTGCTGAACGACGGAGATTGGTTGTGAGTGCGGGTCGTTAAGAAATCTGTTGCAGCCTCTAAGATGGCGTCACCATGGATAACCTCCATGTCAGGCAGCCGTTAGCGAGAGGGGGAAGCAGCTCGTTAGGCTTTAACGCAGGAGACCCCTCCCTACTCATTGATACCGATCGTACTCATTCACCATCCTCATCAGAGCCAAGATTTGTGTTATCAATCGAAATAGATGGCCAATCCGACCCAATTCACACACGAATCTGTCGTCATTCATCGTCATTATTTGGACCGTGTTTATACAGACAGGTTTTATGCCCCTTGGATGCTGTGCCTTCGCTATGAATATGTTGGATCCTAAGTCACTGGTCATAGGAATCCGAGATATCTTACATCTTATGGACAGCAAAGTGTCAGTTTAATTTGCTGTTAGTCACTGGTTTTAAACATCGGCGTAAACGCGGTATGAACCGTTTGGTCAGTGCATGGACCCTACTTCGTAGTAGGGTCCATGGTCAGTGAAAGGTAAATAAGATGAAGCCTGTTCCATTCTAGTTAAAGGCGTACATGTATGTACATTATTGGTTCTTACCATTCTCCTACCCCACCTCACCCTTCTCTTCCCTCATTCCTCTCCCATGTGTCCCTCACTCTTTAAAATGTCCATATTCCTATTTTTTCTCTACAGAATTCATTCCAAATTCAAATCATCGGACTCTTCTCTCACACGATCAACTCAAAACCAGACGGCATTCCGCTGTCCATACGAACGACGTCCGTAATTCTGTTAGGGGGAGGGGCAATGGGGTCTTATAAAGGGAAAAAAATATCTGTGTAGACACGACTACAGACTCGCAGGAATGTCTCCTCCGTGGCCCATTAGTCATGAGGCACGGTAACTGCCTGCCCAGCCTGCCTGTCTTGATCTTAGGGTGAATTTTAGTGGTGCGCCTCTTGAGTGCAGGGGTGTTCCTCAGGGGTGTAAGGGTCACCCGTATCTTTACAACGTTGTCACTCATCTTTCACCGTTGTTCACCGAGAGCACGATTAACCCTTGTTTAACCATCATTAGTCAATGTCGTTTTTTGTTACCCCCGGAGGCATTGCTTCTACAGTGCGTATCAAGAAAAATATACCTCAATTTTGGCAGATTTCTTTTTAAAAGTAATAACCTGTGTGACATTGGATTATATTTAATGTTAAAAAGTAACTAATATTCTGTCTAACGATACCTTTTGTTGGATTTACTGATTCTTTGAGGATAGTAAAGATCAAGTGACGGTGTGCTGTTCGAAAAATATACCAATATGCACCTTACACACCTAAACACTTGTTATATATTTAAAAATGGAATTAGCCCTAAATAACAGAATGAAATCAACTTTGTAGAGTTACAGCATGAAGAATCGAAGTTAAAACATTTCATTGGATAAAGCTATCGTTGGCACATGCATTATGTTGTTACAACCATATCGAAGGCTACCATAATAAACACCAACATTGGGGGCTGTAACAACTGAGCATAACATTCGAGAATGAAGTAGAGAACGTCCAACCTTTAAAAAATCACAACGTCCTGCAAACACGAGACGAGACAGAACATACGTCAGTCATTAAAACTTGAATTTTTATATTTGGCCTCTAAATCACTGATAATAGCCTTGAAATTGCCTGAATTCTCCTAAATTCGTTCAAAACAGGATTTTGATAAGACAATATGGAAACTGAAGTCTGCTGTTCACGCAAAACGATTGTGGGCGTGATACTACGGAAACCAATGTATTTTTATGATCATCACATGTCTTTTATTACAGTAATGTGGTTTTTAACCGACTGTTTTTGCTGAAACGCACAATTTCATACATGGTTAGACTCATTACTAATCAATGCCATATGGATAATTTGAAACCATACACAAACAAAAGTACAAAGTACAGTTATACTTTAAAAAGAAAATCTATATTAGTATTACTATCAGCAGCGGCAGCATCACCATCATTCTTATAATCATGTATGTAGCGCGAATTAAGTATATAATTCTTGGATCTTTTTCATTCCTGAAGCAATATATATTTTGCATTTGTATACTTGTAAAATGCAAGGTGTAGTTATTGTTTACGGTATACCCTAGATAAATACAATTTTCCCATTTTCTCCTCACTAACCCCTTCCTCTCTCTCTCTCTATCTATCTATCTCTCTCTCTCTATCTCTATCTTTTTCTCTCCCTCTCTCTCTCTCTCTCTCTTTCTCCCTCTGGCCGACTCTCTGTCGCTCTCTGTCTATCTTCCCCTCTCCCTCTTAATCTTTCTTTCTTTCTCATGTTCTTTCCTCCTACTTTTAACCGGGAAATGAACCGTGTATCATTGTTTACAGTTGCATCTTGTGAAGAATGAGAGTGGTGGCTATTAGTGCAAATATCAGCCCACGACCTTCCCGTTTGAAATCATAATCATAAATATGCTTTCATTTCACATTAAACTCTTAATCGCATTAGGAAACGTGGAAACCATGGTAATGATAATATTTTCAATCCCATAAAAGACGTCCTTACCTCGTCTTGTAGCTAGTGTTTTTTTTTATCGCCAATATATAACATTTCTCAAATCAAGGAGTAGCCGCAGCATTGTAATACACTTTTTACATATTTAAAACGCACACATTAAATTCTAGTTGCAAGATGTATTACATAATAATACACCAGTCTATCAACATGCAAATGGCAATAGGTTACCCATTAACAATAATTATTACGTTGTTGAGATTACTTATCAGCTTCGATTAGAACCCCTAGTGAAGTACATCAGGGGAAAATATGCAATAGCGATGCCGAATGAAAGGTTTATTCTTTTGATATCGGGTTCAGCTTATCAAATACAGTGTATCTGTTGCACTCTCTTTCAGTGAGTATCTTCACGGATTGTAATGGATGTATATACATGAGTTAAAGCATCTTCATGCAATACGATTCTTGTCAGGAAAGCTTTATCAAAGTTTAGAAGTTCATCGCGATTTTATGAACAGACGAATTTAGACATCGATGGATTCGCCGGGTCATAAAAACGTCGCACTGTAATTCAGCCTTTAAATACGTATTCATACTTATGAAATATTGAGGATTTTTTTTGTTTTCGATTCAGAAACTTCCAATCTCGCTGTTCTTTTAGTGTGATTCACGAATTTTCATTCGTAGGAGTTTCTCGATTTCAGGATCACAATTCCACAATTAAATCAAGCTTAAATCTAAATTGTTACAATAATGCAATCCTTGTGGCACAAGTATTTCCCTTTGATGTATAAAACTGGTTTATTCTGATTTAAAATTCTTTTACAAAGCAGATTCATAACAAAAATACTTTAACTTCTCAACATGTTTAATAACAGAACCTTACTAAACCCACTGGGTAATTGTAGTGCTCTATGAAACATGAAATGAATTCCATCTCAAAGGGTACTCTAAGTTAAACTCTGCTTGATGCTTCGCTTTAAGATTGAGACATATTAGCTACATAGCTATTCCATCCACGCGATTCAATTTTTCTATCAAGAATAACAGATCGTAAATCTGAGTCGACTGTGATAATATGTAATCTGCTCGTGAAACGATCGCCGATTCGTTGGCGAGGAAATCAGAGGGCATATAAAAACCGTGCCCTCACGCGAAAGATACGGTGAACCTGTCGAACTATATTTCGCCAGGCGCACTTCAACCTAAATTGGTAAGGACGCGTTCTAACGCGACGAGTTTATCAGTACTATAAATCACGGAGAGACTAACAAGTCACCACACCAGGAAATCATAGCAATGATGGGATTTAAAGGTTCTGTTCAATATTTTCGGGTGAAAGATTAAAGGTCGAAAGTGGCTTAGATATATTTTCAAGTGTTTTAAGAAATGCATTTGAAGATTGAAGATAAGAATTTTGATTTATTCTGAAGAAGATGCACTCTCTCTTTTCTCTGTTGTGTACGTTCGTCTGGTTAACGATCGTAGCAAATGTGAACACTATTTTCTACAATTTTCATGGTTTTAACATTTTCCTCTCCATGACACTTTAGTGACTGGACTAGCTTTAATAATACGATTGACCCATATCCAAGTTCAGCTAATGTGGTAATAAGCAAGTAAAAATCTTGCTTTATTTGGAGATTTCCGAACTTTATTTTGATGTGAATAAGATCGCGTATCGTCTTTTTGATCTTTAAAATGTATCAATCATCAAAAACGTTCTGTTTCATACCAAGAAAATCAACAAGATTACAGCTCGGTTATTTATCGTGTACGAGTAAATGGGTAAATGCATTTATACAGTTTTTTTAAAGGATTAACAAAGATATTTGCATCGAATATATCAGCTCAAGAAAAATACAATGCTTGAGTATCCATTATAATGGAACTGTCTCATTAAACATGTTAAAGAAAGACAATGATCTTAGGTAGATGTCGAAGATGTCAGCGGTAAAAAAAAGCGAGCGGTGCTGGTTGTTACATAACTACCGGAGCAATACAATTAAGAGGATTCAAGGTATACTTTAAAAGGAGCGATAACCATACAAGTACATGATTAAGAAGAATTATTACATATTAAGAGTTACATTATGTATTATCAACAAATATTCGATAAGATAGATATATGAGAAGACGTGTTTTACATAGCAA